GAAGAGCGTGAATCCCAAATTCTCGGAGTTAATCTTTTAAAGTTTTACCGGAGATTTTCAGGAGTCTTTCACATCGTTTGGGCCACCACCAGACGTAAGTGACGCTTACTTGTCTGATAAATATTTCCTTTTTTTATCTATAAAAGTTTTTACATCGTAAATTAAACTCTCTTCGGCCTACATCACTGTATGTATGAGATAACGAACCTTGATGCTCTTCGCAGTGTCTAAATGCCAACAAATGTTAACAACTGTCAAGCGTTTTCCAAGAATTAACGTTTTTAACGAGAAGTTTTCTGAGCTTGTGCATGCTATAAAATCATCGAAAAGCCTAGCGATTTTTGCGGTTATGATTCTGTCTGATTGACAAAAAGAACTCTTTTAGAACTTAACGTGTGAATTTCCGAAAATATGCGTATTGTACCTTTGAGAAAGATAAATTGATCTGAAAGTTTCAGGGCTACATCCTCTCATCGAGTTAAATTGAGTTGGATGAGCTGTCAGTTTCTCCATAAGTTTCCTGAATTGATCTCAATTAGACTTTTACTTATGGCCGATAGGTGTTCGAACTCGGCGAGTGTCAAATTCGATGCGTATGCCTTCTCAGACTCCTCTTTTTCGATCACTCTTATTGAATGCTCTTGAGCGGTTGAGCAATCATATTTACGTGATGAACATAAAAGTTAAAGTAACGTAGCTATGCCGCTATTTCTCGCCCTGCCGCTTTTGATTGCCGAGACCCGGTACAATACCAAGAGTGATCTAACACATCATTAACCATCGGAAGACACCTCAAAAGTAGCGCCCACTCTGCTAAGTATTGCTTGTCGCAAAGCATATGGCAAATTAATGTACAGATCCCCAAAACATGCAGCTAGATATAAATTCGGCTTTGTTTGATCTTTAAATGCATGTCATTATTTCAAGTCAGGTTAACATTTGCAAGGTTTACTTTTCTTGAGAATATTTTGAGATACACCCAAGTTAAATGCATAAATAAACCCTGACGTGATCTCCCCCAATACTGGTTTTATTCTGGCTCGTTGTATTAGCTATTCTTTATTTCTACTTCGGATGTAAATTAGCATATTGTGTGGGCGTAGATGCTTAACTTTTTCATTCCCAAGTGTGATTAAAAAAAAGAAAAAATTGTATAAAATTACAGCTACCATCTTTGATTTTTACAACAACGGAAGGCCGGGGAGAGAAAGAAAAGAAAAGGGGACAGAGTAATGCCGCCAGAAATTAGTCTTCCAGCCTTTCCCCGTCCTCTCCCCCCACCATCCATTCTGACTCAAAGTCAACCATGGCCGTTCTGAAAAAGGATTATCATGGGGAGCTTTTAAGGTTAATTAACTCGTCCTAATAAGTAGCCTCCATTGTGGGCTGTGTCAACTTTATTGTCCGGTCCTAGCTTCGAGTGAAAAAAAGATTTTTCACAATAATTTTCCCTGTTGCATCGTTTAGCGACAGATAGCGTCTGTAGGTGGAGGAGCACGGTATAGGTTACAACAGGTTGGGCATGCGTTAAGCTGCTTGCTCTCTTGACGGATACTTAGAGTTTCCTTCCGGCACGTTACCCGTGAGGCGGATGCTGATTTTTTAAATTGGCCTGGTCGAGCTATGTAAAATTTTATCCTTTTAATTGTTAACAGTTACGCTTACGGTTGTAACAGGGTGGCAAACGGTTTATAAGTGACCCATATCAAACTGTTTCCACACTGCGTTGGACATTTGTTTTTGTTGGTTCCAGCCTGGCGCGGCCGCTAACCCAGATGCCCTCCTGAGCAAATTTTTAAAATGGCGGACAAGCCAAAGAGAGAATTAAGAGAACCAAAGCGATTCTGCAACGAATACTCAGCATACACCCCTGTTAAAACGGTCATTTCATAGGGAAAAGATACAAAATTGTATGATGTTGAAGTTAAGGAGGTTGACAAACCCAACAAGAGAATGAAAATTCACTACATTGGCTACAGTACACGCTTCGATGAGTGGAGACCCTTCGGGGACGGTGAAGCATCTGAATATTTTCCTTCGAAATTGTATAGATTAGTAGGCTGCAACAAAAATTTATTGGACGACGTTTAGTCTAAAAACAGCAATCTAACCTGAAAAAAATGTATTTATTCCGACTCTTTCGGAAAATAACTTTACAAATCTTACTTGTTTATCTCGTAAGTAAACGATGGTAAATTAATACCCGAAGCGCTTTCCGAGCTACCCGATTCTTCTCCCACTGCTTTCACGCTTATAAAACAGGAAACGAGCAAAAGGAGGAAGGTGTGGCTGTTTTGACTAGCCATTTGACGAGGTTCAATCTGCTCCTTGTTCGACAATTTACATATCAAAACAAAGGAAATTTGTTCCTCTCTTTGATTTTGGCGGTACATTTTCAATTTGCGCTTGCGTAAGAGAGAAATCGCCCAAGACTCCTTGCTCGGTCTTGTTTTGACCACGAACGCCTTCTTAATTTTGACGGACCCGCTCGGGAAAAGGTGAAAATGACGAGGGAAAAACTTTACTTTGTAGTACGAAAATACACAAAATGGAAAGCCATGATATTATAGTTCAATATTTCGGTGGTACATTGTTAACTTTTTATACAGAGAGTCGGCAAGATGATATAACATCCAAAAATCGCACTCGATTTGAGTGGGCCGATGAAGTGGGCGTGGTCACGAAATTCAGTAAGAGACTATTTGTACCCCGTGAGTTTGATATGATCCTGCTCGTGGCTTGGGTAGGGCCCAGCCCATACTGACAGTGTTTACTGGAGGCATTGAGTCANCATGATGTTTTTGTGTATTTATTTTGCTTACAAACCAATTCCGACAGAAGCGAAAAAACTATCATGCGGGACCTGTCCCTACTTTGGACACGATTGTTCCACATTCTTTTCGGCTGTCATTTCGAAAGCGAAGAATTAATGGTGCGCTTCTTATTTTTGTTTATTTCACGCGCTTGAGATGTACTCATACTCCATGCATTTTCACATGACTACAGTTGCGCTCTTCTCATGAAGATCCTACCAATTGTAGTTTCCATTACATTTTAATTACAGAAACACACTATTTGTGATAAGGGTGAAGCCCTTTCCTGAATTGTTCGATATCCTGTTGCCTGGACAGTGCGAAACTTCTGGCGGATACTGGTATGAAGACAACCTCGAAGGAGCCGTGTATTTTCCCAACCTGGGTTTTCGAAAATCCACCTCACAATCCATCAATTCCTTCCTGCCCTCATTAAACTAAAATTAACAACAATAGCTCTGTCAGTGTGATAACAGCACTGCAAGTAAACAATTAGGGAAACTATTTCCGGTCCTAGGCCCCTCACGGCATCGTTGTCACGGTATCGCCGCTACAGCAGAGCAAAATGCCACACGTTCCAGGGTATTGCCCCACTCAGAATGCAAATTTCATGGCTTAAATGAAATTATATCTTAGCTTTGTTTTCTTCAACTTTAATTTTGATGAATCCGCTTTAAATCGCTTTAAGTTTTTCTTTGCTGTGACGAAGGACTAACTTCAATGTCATCCTTCGTAACCCTTTACAATACACTCAACTCTCCGCTAGCAGTGTCACAGAATTTTCCAACTTGATTACGGATTGACCTTGTTGAGACAACATAGGTGGCCCAAAATTGCACTATGAACCTTTGTAAACAGGTATACGTGTTCATGTTGCAATGCAAGCAAAATAAAAGCATTTGCCTCCCCATAGTAAAGCTTATTGTGCGAGTCTGGATTACCTGTGGAAACAAAGTTGCAAAAACCTAAAGGGGGCTGGGAACTTGTTTATTTTTCTAAGCAAGTGATGACAGCATCCAAGCTTTGTGGCCCAAAGTCAGTGTATCTCAATGCATCATTTATCTATATCTCTTTAGGAACCAGCCTTTATCTATCGCTTGAGGAAGGGGGGGTTGGAAGGGAATTTTTTTAAGGGATCACATGTTTTTCAGGGGAAGCAGAGGGGGTATCAGTCGTCTCCAACAGGGCGTAAAAGGGGGGGAACTTTAAAAATTGACTACTTTTGAGGGGTATCATAGAATACTACAAACCCTTTTTTTCGGCGGAGGGAGAGAAGAACCAGGTAAATTTAATCTCAAACAAAATAAAATAATATTAAACGGCGTAACTCTAGAGAAAAAGGCTCCCTCGTCGAGCACTCGAAAGCAAACGAATAAGCCGACAAGCAAAGGAAAATAAGCCTGATATTTAATCGTTAACTGTTTTCTCTTGGAATAAGATATAGACAGTTATATTTTCCAAGTAATACAATTTTACTTAAATTGATTACTTGGATTTTGTCACCTCTACAGATAGTGAAAGTTAAAATTTCACATGTTTGAGCGCACTAAACATGTTGTTTATAACACCGCAAAAGATATAGAAAAGTTCCCTCTTAAACACTTAGGACAAGCACTTTCGTTTGAGAGAATGTCGATCATGTTCGACTTTTGTAAACAGTGTTTAAACGTATCATCATTAAGAAATTTGGACATTATGCCGGCTTTATGGTCGCCCTCGATGCCTTCGATTACGCCTGCGTAATTTATCTGACCCTACCTGGTAGTGCTTAAAACTTGGCCATTCGGGGCAGGACGAATTTTTAAATCGAATGTAAATTGCTTAATGCGCATGGTAATATTCATTATCCAACTACAATCCGTAGATTACAAATAACGCCCAATACGAGTACAAATATCACCGTAGAGAACCGGTTAGACAAGTTTCCTCGCATCCTGCAAGCGAAAAATTGGATTGAAGTTCCAAAATGGCGGACAGTTTAAATTATATTTCTGATGACGAAGAGCCGGAATGGCTGGCGAATATTGATCTAAGTTTATTAGATAAATCGAACGAAGAAAAGCAGTTAGAACAATGAAATTTCGTCATTTATTGAGGAAAGCAGTTAGAAAAATGAAATTTCGTCATTTATTGAAGAAAATAGAAACAGCAACACGACATCTCGCC